ACGGATTTGATTTTACTGTTCTGTTACTATAATCCCGTGTAATCGAATTTTTCTGAACCATCTGTTGTAATTAACTACTGTCTCTTTCTATGCACACATATATATACATATTTGTATTTATATATATATACTTCGTACTCTTTCACAGCGCCCCTTTTTGTCCATATGTTTGTATCTAAAATCTAGAACGTAAACTACAAACTTCTGATTTCTTTACATTTTTTATTGTACGTATATATTTTTAAAATGCTAATAGAGACGAGACATGCAAGACGGCTGACTGAAAGTAGTTGTTCATAACATGAATTTCGTTTAGTTGGCTGGTGAATGCAAAAACAGTCTGCGTGAAACATGGCAATAAAAATTTTTAAAGGGCAGTATTTCACCAGGGCCTAGCAGATTAAAAGGTGGGAGGGTGGTGACTGCTCTTCAGCTGATGTGATGGAGGGGAATTAAGGGAACCACCCTTATCCGTGGAAAAGTTCTCTGTTACTAAGTGACCCGAGTTTCAATAACTTCAACAAAATGGAAAGACAAAAACTGCCCGAATGCTGATAGCTTGATTTCTCTACTTCAGGAGGACACCCAACTGTATAAATCAGAACAACAGCATAATTATTACTAAACTTTCCCTTTTATTCTGCATAATTTATGTGCTCTGGCGTTTGGATTTAACTTCTTTAGTATCTGTTCTCAGCATTACTCTGCACGGGTGGAAACAATCATCATCATTCGTTTCTCTCTTGCTTTTTTTAACACTATGAACTTGAACTAACCGTTAGTGCGTAACACCGTAAAATTCAGGGACTATAAATTCTTCGTAATAAAAATGGAATGAGCCATGCGTTTATCGCATATTGTTTGTTTAAATTATTTATCAATTAATCTGCACTCCTCTTGCTGCTTTCTCCTGTCTTCTCATTTCTAAGGTATTGCATTGGAGCACTGCATATGTAAAGTAATGCTGCTCTCTGCGTTTGTATTACTTGAACGGAGTGTTGAAATCACTAGAACCTACATTTGGTGGATATTCAGAATACTGTTAGCACATACGATGAATAATGGAACAATCTCCATCACGAAATCTGTTTATCACCGCAAAGTTGTTCCACTGAATCTGTTAATACCAAAATAATGCTGTACTTAGCGTCTATTATGGAGTTTCGTAAATTTTCAAACCCTTATTAATTGATTAACCGGTAATGATTGTAATTTCGGCAAAGTTTAACAATGGTATCCCAAAGAATGCGAACGCATGGGTGACCTTGAGCTGGCCAATCAGTTAAATGAGGGATTTTTGGACGAAAAATTACGTATGTCTACATAAAAACGCGTGAAAAACATTAAACAGTGTATTTTTCTCTGATATGAGCTAAAAATATGTCCCAGTTTTAAAGAGGAGTGCCAGTTTTTAAATTTAATCAGTTTCTATGCATATTCATCCAGGTCATTTATTGCCATTATGCTATTTTTTAATCGCCCCCAGAAACCCTCTATGAGTTAGTATGAGTGCCTGTTGTGGGATCGACGAAATCATCCGAATGGCTAACTCGACTGAGTAGATATCCTAAATCCGATAAGCGTTATATCCTGCGCATTCATCCGTGTGGAAAGTAGTGCCAAGCAAAACGAGTATTTGAATAATAGGCAGAAGAGTGATGGCACTCCTGCCTGGAATAAGTTCAATCAATCCCTTCTGAATTTGGGTGTCATAAATTCCCAATACCCAAACGTTGCTAGCTCTAACACGTCCGCGATTGCATTTCTTCTTAATAAGCACTGTTTCGTCGATATGAAGGATAACACCAACTCCTCGCAACACTTGTTCATTTTCCATGATGCTAAATCTCGACAAAACTGAAACCACTGCACAGTCGATGTCAAGGTATTTTCTGTCTGAGGGATGTTGACCTCACTCCGGACTTCAAAATCCAGTAATGGAAAAGAAACAGTACATTCATCCAAGAAAGTCTCAATTTTTCAAAGAAAGTTCCTAGAAGACTACTAACTGTGAGTGTCGCTTACCAGTATGAACACTCGTTCGCTTCCTGCACTCCGTACATCCAAATAAATATCCATCAATAATTTGTGAACACGGTTATAGGCTCACTGAGTCACCGCACCTACATATACGAGTGCGTTCTATCAATCCAATATCCAGACAGTGTTTAAGAACGTGATCTGGGTGAAATTTGCACCTGAGCTCATGAATAGCGTTCATTTTTGAGCTACAATAATCGTAGGTTTCTTTAGCCAACCATTAGCATGCGTTCAAGGTTATTTAGGCGTTCGCGCTCCTGGGACGCCATCATTGAACTTCGCCATAAGTTCTGCATTCTATGTGTCCTACTCTAGAGGCTGTGTATGATCTTGCTTCTTGCCTTCCGATGACGCAACTTTTTGTAATTCCCGCGTGAAGCTGACTGACTATACGTGCATTAACGATTAAAATTTAGACTTAGACCAGTATCTTAAAACCTATTCGATTAAAAGTAAACATTACAAACTACTTATATAGTTTCCAGAATTCTTTTCATTTTTTCAATGTTAATGTCAAAAAACTGTGTTCAGTCTAAAATTGTACTTGTTAAATGTGACCTTCCGGTACAAATGGCATGCCAATTATGTAAATGCTTAATTTATGTAAATAAAATAGTATTATTAATGTCACAGTAGTTTTCCTTGAGATGCGAAGTCAATATCTCTGTATTTCTTGATGTGTTCCATTGAATCACCAGTTATTAGATTTTTCCCTTAAACTAAAGATAAAATGACAGCAACCATGTTCTTTAACCGTATATCATGTAATTTAAATATAATAATAGTCACTTTATTCCACAACAATAACAATCTACAGCATGGAATTTTCAGCGTTTAAACATATGTAACTTAAATGATACTTATCCATGCCTATACAACTTGTGTGTCCTACATTTGTAGGAATAAATATGTGCCTTATTATATTATCATTACTTACTATACTTACTAATCGTTTGTGTAATTTATCGAATTGATGATGCCTGTAAACTGGCGTCCCTCATGTACAAAAATGAGAATATATTATTATTATTACTATTATTATCTGAGACTGACGGTGGTATGCAATCAAATTAACATCTAAAGTCCGTTTATTTACCTTTGGGTGTCGTTCACAAGGCATGTTGACTTACAAAACTTAGGGCTCCATAACAAAACCGTATCATAGTAGTGATTACTGCATTCCAGCCACTTGGTGAGCTAGAAGTTATTACTGTATTACAAGGATTAACCGAGTTTGAGCCAATATCTTAAATAGTTGAGTTTCTACGTATTTTAGAAATGTTGCACACAAATTTCAAGGATCATATACCATGAATAAATAAACAAATGAATATCAGCGAAAACACGTGCGAAAATGCCGCCGATTCCGAAAGTACCACGCAATTAATCTAAATGTAGACTACTCGTCAATGTTACCTTTGTCATCCTTTTGGCTTTTGTTGCTAATAAAATCGGTTATTTCCTTTGTTTCAAATTTTCTACCACTACATCATTTCACTTGCTTCATTTTAATTGTGCCGAACGCTGCTTTATGCTTTGTGCTAGTGTTTTAGTTATTTTTCAGCTGTGTTAGTGGCATTACTGTTGTTTCCAGTTCTTTTTTCGGTTGACCGTTCATATGGTTAATTATTATGAAAAAAGTTTCTTTCCTGTCTATGTTTATGGTATGCGACCATCTGCCAGTAGTTCTGACGAACATAGCTCAGTTAGACTTGATATTAGCAAAGCTTTCGAAGGGCCCATAATACCCGGAGAATTTATAAATTATGCTAAGGTTGGCGAAGCTTCGAAACGCTTTCAGAAGGTGAGTATAGCACGATTGTGCTTGTTATTAGGTTACCGACACCAGACATGTTATGGAGGAATGCAAATTAAACAAGGATAGGTCACGTTTGAAGTGTGAATAGGTGGTGCTTCTATGAACCTTTGAAAACAAAAAATGAGAAGGCAGTTAGAAACGTTTTAAAGGGCAAACCTTGTCTGTGGTTGTTAGTGCCTGATGTGCTAGATCTAAATGCATTGGTTTTTCAGTGGTGATACGCATTCGTTTAAGTGCAATAAATTCGTTTTCCCATTTGTATATACGATTCATGATCACTGTTGCACTCATAAATATCTAATGAACGGTGCCGAAAGTCACAAATTAAATGACTGCCTATATTAAAGCCAATGTTATCTGTTTGTCAGAACCCAATGAGGTTACTGAATATGCTGCAAAACGCTTTGGAAGGCGAATGAAATATGATGATATTCTGAGTCTACCAACTAAACAGGCTAAATATAAGATCCCAACTAACAATGACAACCCCTCAGTTTGCGATTTACAACAGGTGGTTTCCTCGAAGCCGCCACAAGTTCGGATGGAAGCAGTGACGGAATGTATATTGATCGTTTCAAGTCTAATAAGCAAATAGAAATATGAGAATGACAGTACCATGTAACGCAGTATAGACATTTAATAGTGATACTACACCTGTATTGCTTAATACACATGTAAATTCTAGGACAAATTCCTTTCCATTATTGGTGATCGAAAACACTAAAACACTAACACTAAGTATATGGCCTCAGTGAAAGTGGTATGGCAGGTAGTAGATTGACGGCGAAAAATCTTGTCAGACTATGTTCTGAGAATGAATACAATTCATGGGTATAGTGATTCGATATATTGAATTAATGCAATAAACAATACACTGTTGCGGACTAAACGGGGAATTTCATCTCCCACGTGCAATTGTTATGAGAATCACATTTGTTAGTCTGGCAATCAAATAGGCTGGCAGTGCGCAATTAATAGGCATCTTCTGAACAGAACATTTTCCACTGCTCATTCTCCACTGTCTAACCTTTGTTGCTAATCTAGTTACTCAAAAATCTGCCTTCTAATCATAAAATTTAAACGTCTAAATACTTTTTTACACGTTTTCTTTAAGTCTACATAATCTACAATAATCGCATTAACTGAATTGTGATAATTATCAATATCACCATCACAGTCTGCTTTTTCACCACACTGATGTACTTATAGGTGAAACTATTGACTACATTTATAGCAGTAGCACATAGCTCACTGAAAACAACACAAAACCAGTCTCCCTATAATTCCCCTCGGAGTCAACCGAAGCTATAACATACAAGTGTCGTGACACACTACGCTGGGATTTACAGAAGTTCAGGAACATTTTCCTTGCAGCCAGGAGGCAATCTCAAAGAAATCAACATGGCTTGCTCTGACTTCTAAAACGGATAGTGGCCATTTGGATATTGGATACTTTGATAGTCTCCTTTGGGCGTCTGAAGCAATCTCAAGGTCAAAGTTGGTGTCGCGTTTTGGTGCGTCCAGTGAATTTCAGACATAATGATACACGTTATAGCAGTTATAAGCGCACACATGGAGTGGGTTTTAGTCATGAACTAACTTAATGCTGCTTTAGCAGCAAGCGATCAGTAACTCTGTTCACAATCCCGTTCGTATTCCGTATTATTACTGCAAATGCGCATTTGCTGAGTACGCACTCTTTATTATAGTGATACTTCATTATTTCTGTGGTGGTATTTATCCATTTCTGCCCCTATCGCATTCATATTTTTAATACATCTCAGAATGCAATCCAATATGATCCCAAATAAAAAAATTGGGGAAATTTCGGGGTTTTATTGGGCAACTTAGGGGCCACAAAATGCAAACATATTAAGGAAATTTCGGGGAAATGCCTCCTTTTCCCCCAAAAAGCTCCTCAACCCTAAAACTACTAAAAGTTCTCAAGCTTTGCCCCAGAATTTCCCCAAAATTGCACCCAAATTTTTTATTTGGGGATGTATTACATATCATACATGTCTATGGACATGTTGTTGTTGTAGTATTTTGTCGCTTTATTTAACAAAAACTTTTGGTTTACATGATAAGAGAACAGGGTGTCCAGCATGTTTGTCACTGCGACTCCATTTACCTTCCGCTTGAAATATACCAAAATTAGGCAGCGGCGAGGCGTGTGAACACGTTGTTGGTTACGGTGTTGCTTTTTATCAGTGAATTTGGTGGTTGATGGGCACGCACCACTATGTTTTCTGCGTTTATATAAAAATATATACATATATGCTCTATCTATTCTTAATTGAGGACACTAATTTGATACTTTTATTTCATGTTCCCGCTGTTGATTACTGGATGTAGTATTTCCTGCATGTTTTTCAGGAATTAACACTTAGAAATCTACTCATTTTCAGTGGCAAATGTGTGAATCAAAGGCTCATTTCAGTTAAGTTGGGTAACAACCGTGATCGTTTATTTGTGGCTATTAAATGTTACGTTTCTTTTTCCAGTATTTCCAGATTTTATTTGTGCTGAGACGTTCTAAATCTCATGGGATTACATCATCTGTAAAATGTAGAAATTTTCAGACCTGATATCTTTCATTTACAATGGAAAACAATCATTTATCTCATTCCGTCAACTCCTCAGAAGATGTTTGGCTGCCTCGTTCTTCATGTCCAGTAACTTCAAGTGATTCGGAGCGGAATCATAATATCAGCGATTTTGGCTTTAGAACAAATCTTGATGAAACCGGCGCTCATTTAGAGAAAGCAAACAGTATTCCAAGAAGTTTACGGTCGTTCTTACGTAAAGCTGCCAGTCTGAAGGAATCTTGTTCGGTGTCATCAACCAAATGTTCTGTAATTTGCCTCGATGGAAGGTGTCTTAGATTTAATGTACATGTAAGTTATACTGTTTATATGAATTTCACGTAAGTTGGTAAGAATTACCGTATGGAGTCTTTGTTAATTCAATTTTATGAAATATCTGTGCTCATCTATTCTGCTTTTAAGTGAGCGGGCTGAATGCATTGAAACAATTTCTTGTACTGTTTAATTCTAAAAGTTGAAGACTAAGTGGGGAGACCAGTACTTCATTTGTTAGGGTTTTTTCTTGGCTTTTGTACTTCTCTGGCCTGTTGTTTGTGTTCAGACACGATAGGAGAGACAAAAAGCTAATCACGAACATTATCAGTTTTTAACATTCTAAACGCCATGATGACATTTTATCTCTGCTTACGGTATGTAAGAAGAGTCGTCGAGGTTGCTCCTAGCATGGTCGATCAGTCAAACCAGGAGTCATAAGTATGACCTTCGTTTGATTCTTGCCCGCATGAGTTATTTTCTGGACAAAGGCTAGCTGCTAGGTCTCCTAATTATTACTTCACATCAGATGTATAGAACTGTCAATATCTCACTGGTATTCCTAGTAAAGTCTTGAGCTGCAACTGAACGACAATAAGTCGTGACTTACTATGACGCTTAAGTCAATGTGCTTGTGAACCTGTAGTACACTGAACCACGTGCATATTCGGTGCACATGTCTACGTACTAGTCTGTGTCGACGGACTGCATCTGTATATGCACATCACTTCCTTCCTCAAGCACCCTCCAGTGTTTTTGTATTTTTGGTGTATTGATTTGGTTGGTAGTTTTCTAGCATACAGTAGAAACAATAGAAAGTAGAGCGTTGTGCCTTGTGGCACCCCATCCATACCTTGTTTCAAGAGGGCAAGAGGTGATCTTTACTTTCTGTCTTCTACCGTGAAGGAGTTCTAGTTCAAGTAAATGGGCTAGCAACGATCGCTGAACTTCCCACCTCTGTAAGTCTTGTTAAAGTCTGTGAAGAACATATCAACAGGTTTTCACTGTCCTTAGACTTAACACGGCTTTCTTTCCCTGTGGTATGTATCACACAGGAGATTTCTTCAAAAGCCATGTTGTACCGTAGATAGGAAACTATTGTTTTTCAGGTAAGCTAAAACATCTTTTGTAATCATTCTTAACTAAGTTTCTACTAAGGCAGGGGTAAGACTAAACAGGCCTATAGCTTGAAGGATATTGCTTAGTCCCTTTCTTTAGGATAGGTGGGATTATTGCATCTTTTCAGTCAAATGATAACACTTTGTTTTGGAGATAGTGTAAAGATAGCAGTCAATGGATAAGCCATATGGATTGCTATCTCCTTGAGAAACCTTTGGTGATGCCCATGAGGTCCCATCAAGTTTCCTCCATATTTTTACTGCTGCTGGATTCAACATAGAACTTGGCACTGAGGTGCAGCAGTTCGAGTTGCCACGTTCCAAAGAGCACACAAAGGTAGACAGGAAAATGAGAGAAGAGAATCAATAGAATTTAGATAAGTATAAGAGTGAAACAGAATGAGTAATGGTAGAAAGGAATATGAAAGGTTAAAGAGACTGAATACATCTGCGCCATTGACAACGATTTTGAGCCATGTCACCTATTGTCTCCATATTTTTACTAACAGCTACTGGAGTGTTGAGCGAAAAAAGAGTATTCCAACAGTTGCTTCCTCCTAATTAGGTTGTGAATCTTTGGGTTTATTCGTGAAGGACAGTGTTTCCACCCATTAGGGAGAGTTCATGGAATTTAAGGTTGGGTTACCAGATTCTATAGGTTCTTGTAATGAGTTTATGTGAGTATTCAAGTCTATGGTGAAGTTATCTGGTAGAACTTCAGACAAAATGGTTTTCATGTAGGCTTCCCACCCATTTGGCCTGTTGATCGATGACATTGCGGCAGCAGTTAACTGGAAAATAAGCGCAATGTAATTATTCTTTCAAATGTATCCCAAGAAGTCTATGTTCATCAATTCAAGCTAGTGAGTATTGTCGCAAACTCTCATACATTGTTATGCAAAGTGAATGATGTTACTAACATGTAAACATGAAGTTTTATTAGTTATGAGTATTTGCAATTTGTATGTAGTCTTCCTACTACGTTGATATTAAATAGTTGTTGTTCAATTGGGTTTTGATGTCTATCACAATGATTGTGGCTCATGGATCAGTTTTTACCTGTCCAACTGCTTGCTAATATCCTTTAGTTTTGAGAAATGTTCCTGGTACAATTATTGCCTGTATTTCTTAACACCAAGTATGCTCTAGTTGATAATCACTGATTATACTATTACGTTGGTAATATTGTGCATCTGGTAGTAGTTCGGTGACAATGTAAAATAAATTTGTTTATGGTCATTCATCACATTCCATATACTTTTAAATAATAAACAGTTTTCACCTTCGTAAATAGAAACTTGCTCTTGGACGTCAGCTTTTGGATACAGTTTGTCAATACTTAGAGTTAGAAGAGCCGCAGTACTTCGGTCTAGTGTTTTATTTGAATCGTAAGGCTGACAGGAACTCAGTTTTGGGAACGTGTCAAAATGAGGAGTCATCCAGTGGAAATAATCAAGATGGTCCTGACAAGCCATTTCGCATATCTTCTTCGTCATCATCTTCAATCAATAACTCCTACTCAACTAGGTTCTGTGGCTGCCCTTTGACAAATTCATTTAACCCGTGTAAAGTATATTCTTACCATAGTACGTATCCTGGCTTCAATCCATTTTTTATCGATGTTCCTGTAAGTTCCTTTTTGTTTTTTTGAGTCATAAATACATGGATTTTCGGGTATTTACAGTTTATGATGATAATTTAAATGCTTAAGCTGATGTCTTATTTCATTCCCTCACGATCTGTGACAATGATTCAATCAGTCGACGAAAAATTTCCTCATGACCTTCCATCATCTGACCTACTAGTATCCTTGTACATACAGAATTATGAACTTCTCGGTCTACACTCTGAATAAAGAAAATGATTTACATTACCTGTATTTAATATCAATCAATAGATTAATAGGTATGCTACGGAGACGATCAAGTGACGATTAGTGAAATGTTGCAGAACATAGATGTTTAGGAGTGAACACATGTGAACCATTGGCAAGGATTTTAAGTTATCTTACCAAAGATCTCCGGCCATTGTTCCTCAGAAACCCAACAGCCCTATCCAGATAGTCCACAATTCTCTGCTAGTCTCAGGCCTATAGCCAGTGACTTCGCGAATAGACATGAATCATTGGGTTTCACATCATTGCCTATTCACTTCTTTGCTAGCCGTTTCTTTTGCAGTACTTGGTCCTTCCTTTGTTATCCTTTAAGAGGTGATTTTTATAGTGTCGTGGTGAGTACTAAGAATTTCGGGGGTTCCTAAGTATTGGGATGTTTCACAAATTAAGGCTCTTGTCTGTTCAATTGCCTGGATTTTTTCGGTCTTGTTTTCCCGAGATCAAATGAGATGTTTGCCTACTGTAGACCTTAGCGTTGTGGAGACTATGATGATGAATTAGTTATTAGACTGTTTTTCTGTTTTCTTACCAACTAGAATGGCCTACAGGGTTAATAAAAGCAACTAGAGATTTTATACTACTAAGGTAACTATTGTCAATTACTTGAGTCCTTTTCCTCCTCTACTTTCAATGGTCATGTAAGATACAACCGATTTTCTACAGGCATCTGAGTATCACTCCACGTAGCGCAAGTTGGTAGAAGTCAAGTAAACAAATATTTTGTTAACAACCATCTTATTCGAAATAATGTAACTTCGTAGATAGGTCAGTTAGTTAATCACCTTGATTATTAGCCTCTAAATCAGAGGATGTATTGTTAGTGACTATTCTTAGAGAAGTCATTTATACCTCGCTAAGAAACATATTCTGAACATTCGACTTTTCACTGAAGATATCTCAAAGGTTATATGTACTTATTGATGCCTTTAAAAAACGACGTTTTCGTCTGCATGCTTGAAGCCAACTGTAAAATCTCTTGTGTCGAAGTTAATCTCTGTATAGCAATACAAGGAGACCTAAGACTCTATAATCATATTAGTGATGAAGTAAAATGAAAAGGTACACAGTAGAAATGCTCAAAGAGTATACAATTCAAGATACATGCCTCTTTTATAATTCATTTTATGTCGTGTTAAAGTATGCTGCCTTCAATAGTTTTTCTACTCTTTGAAATAAATGATCATAAATCTAATGGATAAGAGAGACAGGATGTTTGTTTCTCAATATATATTTTTTTTTGGGGGGGGGATGTACTACCTGACATTTCTTTTCATGAGTTCCATGCAGGCAGCAAACAAGTATGGTACTTGAAATCGTAGAAAAGTAAACCAACTTTTTCATTTTTTGTATTTATCACAAAATGAGCTAGCGGCTGTCAAACCAAAACATGGCCTCACCAGTCAATCAAATCCACAACAGTTAGTTTAAGCCACGTAGGAAGGTGTAGACTTCCTGGTTGGGGTCCTTGGGACGGTAAAAACCAATGGTTGGAAACAATTCGTGATATGGTTCAAAATCGTTCTCAATGGCTGGTGCAGATGCATCCACTCCTTGTGACTTATGATTTCCAATGAAACTATATTGTTCTTCGTTATTACTGTTCCTTTGTCTCTTGCTTTGTGTGCTACAAGGAGGGAGTGTGGCGACTTGAACTGCCGCACATCGGTGCAAAGTTCTATGTCGAATACAGACAGACAGACAGATCACAAAAAGATTTTCTTCTCTTATAGACTGAAATAACAAACGATAGAAATTGATCGGAAAGAATGATACTGAACTCCTGTGTCATCTAAAACAAAAGCCAGATGAATTACTATTGATGAACCACTTTTATTAAGAAATGTACATGGTCAGTCAGTCAGTCACTCACATGATTGCTAGTTTGTACTTATTAAGACCGTTTAGAATATAGGACTGTGGAAAAATTGTGAAGAGTAGTGAGATCTTTATACATGTGTAGGTCTTCTGTTTCTAATTTTCAGTCCATCGATATCAATATAGAAGCTATAACAATTGATTAGGTGCGCATATTATAATGTCTTGTAAGTACATTGGGTTTGAGTAGCTTTGTGGTATTTAACTCTCCCGATTTTATGTGTGCGATAAAAGTTTAGATTTTCTTGGGAAGCTGTGAAGTTGTGTTCATATGTCAAGTAAAACTTATAGGTGTAAGGTATCCTACTAAGACATTCAAGTACATTGGTATAATTCTGTCTAAATTTGAATATACATGTATTTGAATAGCTTAGCTATATACTGGATAACAACAGGAGTCAAACAGCGGGTTAAAAATTTGCATAAATCAATCGGCATCTAAGCCGTATTAACTTACATTTGGTCGTCACTATCTCATTCTAGACTAGCAATAACTAACAACTTTTCGCACTGTTTCTCTTACATAGGTTATTCCTTTAATAAATTTAAATCAATTCCATTGTTTTGGGCTTGGTGGTTGATTGCTAAGATTCCTGTATTAGTGAATCACAAGTAGGACATTATCACCTCTATTGCTACAGAAGATGTGATAATCAGATAAATACTGTTGTTTGATAATATTGAATTCCTACTTGTTAATTGGAAGGTGTTAAATGTATTATTTCATCTTTAAATCAATAAGCCTATTTATCGGGCCATTTCACAAAAGTAGTTTTTTGTAATAGTACTGTTTCATTCTGCATAAATGATTGAAATCAAAACAAAGCTGACGTTTTCTTTAGGCTATGACCAACTCCCATGTGATTTGAATCGAGAATACATAAGTCAGCGAAGAGATCTCTTTTCTCTCGTAAATTCTCTCTACAAAGCTGTATAGTTATTTAGGAAGTTTATATATATACAATATTAATCGACAACGGAGGCCAGAGGTTATTGTCATTCAGTAATAGAATAAATCAGTGGGTTTTAGTAATAAAAATTTTCGAAAAAAATTGTGAATAATCTTACGCAATCGAGTGGGTTGACGGCTTAGTTAAATGATGATTGTTTAAAAAAATAAAATAAAAACGCCTACTTAGTTTTTTTCTATATAAGTACTCAAGAAGAAAAAAACTGATACTTAAAGCCTCAGTAGTAAAAGAAGCTGGATAAAACATTTCTGAACACAAAGTTCAGGCTTTTCCTAATGGGTCACCAAACTTTCGGCTTCATGAAGGTGTAGGCGAAATCCTTTTGAACGGCTTGGTCGTATTTTATGTATATAACTATGAATGAAGTCTCTGCTGCTGATGATGTATGACCAGAAGTGATAATGTACTCCAGAATTGAGCTGTTGACTATCCTGTATTCATTCTCCTTTTGATAACCAGGCTGGTAAGTATTGATGGGCGTATCTGGACTGTGTCCTGCTGTTATGATCTATGTACTTAACTCCACAGGTGCAAGTGAAACTGGTAAATATACATTGGAGCTGCCAGTGGTGTCGGATCATGTTCTTGACATTTTGTTAAACAAGAGCATATGTAGAGAATGTGAGACGTAGAGATGCAGCAAAGAATGTTCTTCAAATCGTTCTAGACAAACAACTTCGGCGAACTTCACTAATTATGTCTGCCTTGAGAATTTCAGACTTACAGTTAGTTACAGGCTAACGACCCTCTATGCATTTATTGATCAAACTGATGATTACAATTTCTACGTTAAGAAACATTACTAAGCACTTTGCGAAACCAAAGTAGGTGGGTTATTACTTGGTTTAGGGACTAAGTAGTTGAAAGCAGTATCATCAGATCATTAAATTATAATTTCACATTGAGAATATATTTAGTATTGTCAAGTATTGGTTTTGTAGGGATTTTGTTTGATTATATGGAGGATTTCATCATGAGCTGACATCAGTTAGAGAACCACTGGAAAACCTGGGAGTACTGGACAACTGTTTCGTCCTAGTTTGGGACTCTTCATCAGTACGCACCCACCGGGATTCGAACCCAGGACCTTCTGGTTACAAGGCGAGCTTGTAGACCATTGAGCCACTGGGACCCGATCCAGTATTTATTTTCTAATTTCTGTCAAGTCTCTGAAATCACTGAATTCATCCTCTCAAAGTCAAGTGGGTAGTATTAACTATTACACAGTACACACACATTTTATAGTCTTTTTCTTGAATCTCACTATAGTCAATGGATTTTACTAATTAAAGAATTTAACTTTTTACAGTACATTTAATATTGTCTTCATAGGGTTTCGCTTATAAAGATTTTTCTTCTTATCTAGTTCTGGTTGGATACAGAAAAACGAATAACTGATCAATGTCATGGTAAGCTAATTCAACATACGTTTTTTTCCACCTAATATGTATGTGGCCTAGTATTTCTAGGGTCAAGGTTATTCTTTTTTTTAAAAAATTCGCTGTTCTGTGATTGTTTAACGTTTTTTTTGCAACAGTTATACGTCTCTTTTCCGAATCGACAGCTGAGAAAATATTACATACTGGTCAAATAGTAAGGTGGCTCTAGATATCGTTTATTATGTTTGTATTTTACGAAGTAGGGATACTAATTGGCTGCCCAAACCCCCAATAGACGGAGTGTGGTTCGAACCTGTGACTCAGTGGTTGGGAGAGATAGGTGCTTAAATCAATGAGCCACAGTTCCACAATCTTCTCATATGTTTATATGCATTCCTAAGCTTCTCGCAGGGATGCATATAAGTAATATGTGGTGTGGTGTTTAAAAGTTCAACAAAGAATAATCGTCAGTTGGTGGAGATTGTAGTATATGAGAAGAAATTTAAAGAGAAAGAGCAAGTTATGTGGTAATGACGACTAAGGATTCAGTTGATGAGTTTGAACTTTAATGTTTTAATCATTACACTATTTATTACCTTTAGCACTGTTTTCTTTAAGTCTGTGTAGCTTCGCTTATTTTCAGTAGTAGTAGCGTAACAACAGAAGACAAGGGCCAAGCAACAGATCGTTTATTAAGGAAATTAAAGCATATTTATATAAATTCATGTACATTATTAGAGATTAGTTAAGCAAACAAACACAGTCTTCTAATTGGTTGTTTCTCACTTAAAGTTAATCTTTCATCTCTTTGTGACTGATTCTTGAATGTCAGATCATCTATATGTTAACTGTATCCGCCTACGCAAAGTCTGCTGTGGTCGGTTTTGAATCAGTCTTTGTTCATATTTTCTCACGACAAATCTTGAGAACGTAAACATTGACGTCAATTACTGTCTACCAATTTGGCTAGTAGACAGCTCTCACCACAGTAGTAGTAGTAGCTAGTCGAACGTGTCAACCTTTCAGAGTCTATACAACTGCATATACTCTCGTGTGTGACCAACTAGTATCGTTTAGCGACTGATCGGATGTATATTCCTCAATACTGTTCAGATATTTTCATTTTTATGCCTTCATTCTTTGTAATTTAGCTGGCCTTTTAAAGTTGCATACTACTTTATCCTATTTATTCTTTAAATATAAATATAAAACAAATTGACTTGGTTGGAGTTCTTTGGTTTTTTCCTTTGCTTACTAACCTGTTTAACTGAACTCTTTAAATATCCCATTTCTTGAAGCGATAATTTCTTTTTTTTTTTTACAGCGTAAAGAAACCTTTTATGGTAGCTAATAGTAATTATATAAGTAATAATTAACATCGGATATAGTTTTAGTATGAAGACTGTTTTTTTTAACTTTTACTTAGTGTGCGTCTTTTCCTCTCTCTCTCTCTCCCATTAGCTTTAACACAGCTCTTCCTTCGTTTTTAAGCGTGTATGCGTGTAAAAGCATCATAAGAAAATTTATACATATAATGCCTCTTCATTGTTTTACTCTAAATACTGGTTTGTGTTTTTTCCGTCTTTTTTGACTTTAATAAAAAGAAACAGAACTAACTTTGTATGATAGGATCGTAGACGGGATTTTTAAGCTTTGCTTTGATGTTCTTAAAATAAGCGGACAATCATTGAACGGATTCTAATTGAGGCAGTTAGTTATTAGAAACTTTTGTATCAAAAATTTTATTGCTTAAAAGGTTGTGCATTTGTTTCTGTATAGTTTATAATGTTACTGACTAGTCGATCTGAGGTTTTCTTCTTTTTTTTTGTTCAGTCGATTGTTACTTTTTAAAAAAACAGAGTTTTGTTAGTTTAATTCAATTTTAGACTTTCCCGTCGATTGATTGGACCGAAGTGCTCGGTCTCAGGTTGACATGTCGGCTCCTTGTGCAGATGCTTCGATGATGTCTGGTCATGTAACTTCAAGTCAATTGGTGGATGGTGACAATCGATGGGAAAATCTAAAATTGAATTAAATAATTATTAAGACCCGTTGCACAAGAGGGGTGGCCCAAGTGGTCTAGTGGATAACGCTTTGGCGTTTGAAACTATGGGCACTGAGTTGAAACCTCTGTGGGAACGCCACCACTCATTGGGGAATGCAGGTACATCCAGCTAGCTGACGAGTCCCAAATAGGACGAAATGTGCATCCTGGATTCCACTGCTAGTCACCATCCACCAATTGACTTCATAGTTTTGTTAGGTACACTTGAAGTGAATGATTTTGTTAGTGTGAATCATTTGTTTGATCGATATATCTGCTTTTTAAGTATATTCAACTTATTTAAGGTGTTTTCTAAGTACAGCAAAATGGAGAACTGGTTGGTCGACAGTTGGGGGAGGGGGCAACCATAAGTTTGTACTGCAAAGTCAGTTGTTTCAAATTCTGTCACTTGAACTTAATTCATTTCTATGCCTTAAGATAAATTCTGTTGATACATGTGGTTCTTTTGACAAATAATTTTTCATCATCATTCTTGATTATCAAAAAAGTTTTCATCAACATCATCATCACATAGTTTTCAATGACTATTTAAAAATCACTTTGATTTTGTGATGATAATATTTACTCTGAAGTCTTTCAGTTGCCAACTTCCCAACTTCCATATTAGTTTGTTTATTAGATGTATCACACAGTGAAACAGTATTATTTACTGGATGACGTTTCGAACAAAATTTATTGTTCATAATCATATCAGTTATAATCACACGACTTTGAAACTTGAGTTTTATAGTTTCCTTTGTCCTCTCCTATTTGTTGTCGTTGGGGTTTTAGAATTTTCCAGATATCTGCTTGGACAAGTGTTGAATCATTCCTATTACATGTATTTGCAGTTAATTCGATAAACAAAGCTTCTGTTATCAATCTCTCCCTCCACCCTGTGACATTAGATTTTAAAACTGTCATCTTATCCCACCCTATTGTATGGTTGTGTGTAATTGCATGTAGTGCTATCTATGGCTGAACTATTCTCTAGATTTATTATCTTATTTGGGTCAACCAATCTAGATTTTGTTAGGTTTTTATGTTCGGCTAGTCTGACTGCCCCTGTTCTACTACTTTGACCTATGTATTTGACCTGACAATCATTGCAGGTTATTAGATAAACTAAATTGTTTTGTTTTAAAGGCTCCACAGGATCCTTTAACCGACAAAACTTGTTTCTAATTGAGTTTGTGGGTTTTTAATGCCACTTTTATTCCTGCCTTGTTAAGAATTCTGCGTAGGGTTACCGAGGTTCCTTCTTTGTAAGGAATTACTACTGATTCCTTATTGTTGGTGTCGTCATTAATGTTATTATCACCATTATTATTATTATCATTATTATTGTTATTATCACTATCGCTACTATCATTATTTATTTTATTTTTACATTTTCTTACATATTTCCTGACTAATTTATCCGGGTAATTATTAAGCTTCAAAGCTTGTCTTAAATGCCTCACTTCCTGTCTTAGATTTTTCTTTTTACTACTTAGTTTTTGTGCTCTGTCACTTAAACATTTCACCAATCCTGTTTTTACTGACATAGGATGGGATGATCGGAAGTCCAAATATCTGTTTTAATGTGTGGGTTTCCTGTAAACACTAGTGTTTAACTTCCCATCTTCTTTCCTTTTTACGTTGCAATCTAACATTGGAAGCTCCCCTTGCTGACTTTCCAATTCATAAGTGGTCGAAAAATCTATCTGTATCTTGTGTTCTAAGTACAGTGAATGTGTCATCTACATACCTCCACCATACTTTTCGGGTCTCAACTTTTTTCTTCAGCTAAGCGGGCTAGTTTGTATAGCGGGTAAATAGTTTCTCTTAACACGAAGCCATTTATTTATTTCCATCTCACAGTTTATTCGCCTTCTCTCACTTATCATTTTGTACAGTTTTAAATGAATTATTTTAATTCATATTATTTTATTATATCATGATTATAAGCTTGTAAATTAGTCCCTAGAAGAGAATGTTACCTATAGTTTTTATTTAGAATAATTCGAAGTAGACTGACAAACGTAAACAGCATACGGTTGGACTTGTATATGCTATCAGTTCACTTTCTTATGCAGTAAAAATCGATTCAATTTTAATTTTCCCGTTGATTGATCGACGCGAAATGTTCGGTCTCTCTTGACATGTTGGCTGCTAGTTCGAACGCTTCGATGATCTCTGGGGATTAATTTGAAGTAATTTAGTAGTGGATGGTAAATAACAGTAGAATCCAGGATGCACATCTCGTTATATTTCGGACTCGTCAGTGTTAGCGCTTGAAACGATGGGTACTGGGTTCTCAACTCAGTGAGAAAATCATCACTCACTGGGGTATGCAGATATATCCAGATGATGAGTCCCGAGTAGGACGAAGTGCGCATCCTGGATTCCATTACTAGTCACAATCCACCAAATTAATACTAGTAAGTTGTCTTAAATGGTTATAAGGAAGGTATAAAGAAAAAATCAACTCATGATATGGGTATTAGGATTCAGATTAAGGTTGTTGTTCAGTGATTTTCAATTGCGGCATTTTTACAGTCTTCAACAGAGAAGTCTACGGATTTACCACAGGGCCTATTGAAATAAACCTTACTTAAGTAAACTAAATAAAAGTGAATAATAAAATTTTTTGGAAAATATGCACAATATTTCGTTATAATATGAAGTTTTTTTTGGTGTATTAATTCAAGAAAATGATAAGTGAATATGAAGCATGCATTTTCATTTATAGTTATGAAGTATCTTAAGCGTGATTTTCTTATCAATAATTTTGTTTGCTATTTCTTAGGTAGTAAATTAATATTTTACTTCCAAGTGAAATTTTATCCTCAACATCCGGATCGTGTTTTCGAATGTCCAAAGTCTAGACATCAGTTCTGTCTTCAGTTAAGACAACATTTATGTATAGGACGGTGAGTCAGTGGATTTTTTTTAAAAATTTCATGTTTTTTTTAGTGAACAGTTTTTGTTGTTGCTGTAAACTGCAGTACAGACTTACTGACTGACTGAGTTAGTTTCAACACAGAACCCTTCACAAAATTGTAGCAGTTTAAGTTGCCACGCACAGGTAGAGGAAAGGAAGAAAACAAACACTCAGAGAACTGTAATCAGCAGAAATATGGGGGGGGGGAGAAAGAATAGTAGCATAGGAAAACACGAGGGTCTAGTCTATATGAGAGATCACAAGGAGTAAATTTATCTGCACTATTTGATAACAGTTTTAAGCCATCTGTCCAATAGTCTCCAACCATTGATTCTTAATATCTCGAGGACTTCAACCAGACAGTCTATACTTCCCTAGGTATCTGGATCAAATCAGCGATCAAAGACTTCATGGATTGGTGCCACGATTTAACTTGACCACCTTTAACTCTTTTCCATCTCAATCCAATGTCAACTACCACTGCTCGACGAGGATGGCGGTAGTTGGGGATGCACAATACGTGTCCAACTCATCTCGGTCGATGTAGCTTCACAACTTTATCGATTAACCTACCCTCCTTACCTAGCACTTTACACCTGACCGCCGTATTACTTATATTATTATCCTACCTAATATGGGAGACAGAATGCAAAAATCTGTGATCAAAGACGGCTAGTCTTTTCATATCTTCCACTTTCGATGGCCACATCTCACAGCCATAAAGAAGGATGGCGCGAACTGCTGCACAGTTGAATATACAGTGTCTTCTCTGTGATAATCGTTCCATCACTCACATGTATGTTGTCTCGTCATTAGGTCGCATTTATTTGATATGACTCAAGTCTTGTGTGTGCACACATACGTCATTAATGTGCATCATATACGAAGCACTTGGTTTACTAGCGACTTCACCTTCAAACAGTAACTTGAGTTTTGAAGACAGTCGTCATTATTGCATAGTTAGTCAATAAGTTCCCCCGTTTATTTGGCTGTCACAGTTCAATATTAATGTTTATTATTATTGTTATTAACCCCTTGAGTTCCGAGTGGAAAATAGGGCTTCAACAGCACATCTCCATTTCATCCTGTTCCATGGAGTCCTTTTTATTTGACTCCATGATTGTGCATGAGCTTTCATCTGCTCCTCATACGATTTCCTCCATTTCATTTTCAGACCCATGTCTCACTCTTTGTTTCACATTCGGGTCCCACTCAGGGGCCTGGCGAGCGATGTCACTCGACGGTCTCGTCCATCTTCATTCCCTTCGACATATTTGGTGGGCGACAGGTTCTTGGTTGGTTTGTTCCCAGAATTTCTTGTTGTTTATCCTTTTTGGTCAAGCCATCTGATCTTCAGTATGAATCGAATGGCATCTGTTAATCAAAGTCTGCTGCCTCTTTGAAATGCTTTTCGTGACCCGCCAAGTCTGTGAACCATATAGAGGCGCTGAGTTGACATTGGTGTTGAAAATCCGAATCTTGTACAGCAGATTTCCACACTAACTTCAGATTAATGAAGGTCTGTCCTGCTTTTCCTATCCTGACTGGCTTTGACATCCTTATCCGTAGTTGAAACGATACTGCCTAGATGAGCGAAAGAAGTGACTTCCTTCAGATTTATCCTACTGATGGTGATTGATGCTTGATGTTGTTGTTTGTTAAGTATTTTCATGGCATCTGTCTTTTCTGTGTTCACTTATTTTTTATTTTATTTTATTTTGATTTACAGCTTGATTCCACACCGTATTTTCAGGACAAGTGTGGAATTTTCAGCATGGATATCGGTAGCCCAAATTCAGGCTGACCATAGATATCGGGTGTGCGCCGGCAGGGGATCGAACCCCTGCGAGATTCCTAACCACTGTGCCACCGACGCACAAATCAGGGAGTACTGGACAGCTGCTGTTTCATCCTAGTTTGGGAATCATCGGCAGTACGCACCCACTGGGATTCGAACCCAGGACCTTCCGGTTACAAGGCAAGCTCGTATACCATTCAGCCACTTGAAGTACTGTCTTCGCTACCTGCCTCTTCTGTCAACTTGTTGGTTTTCCCTTGTATATCTTCGAGTTTGTGTGGCATTAGACATGAATCATCTGCAAAGTCCGGGTCCTCTAGAGTTTTCTTGTCTGTCTAACGTATTCCTATCTTCTTGCTCCCCAAAGCCTGTCACATGATCCAGTCCATCACAGTCAGGAATATCATCGATGATAGTTAGGCTCCCTTGTCTTACGTCTGTCTTCACAGTAATATTACTGTACAACACTGTGTGATTTATCAAAATAAAATCTTATCCATAATGGAGTTATACTCTACCACAGTGCCCAAGTTTTATACTTATATCAATTTTCATGAAGCATTTTTAATTCTAACTTTTATAGACATTAACCTTATGTATTTTTTTATTGTCAATTTTTGTTTCTTTTCCTGCTGTAGACTTTTATGCTCATTTGAAACTCATGTAATATTGGGCGCTTTGATAGCTCAAATGGTATTAGGTGATGCTATAAAATATCAACGTTCTCATAGTGCCCATTTAAGTTGTCGTTCAATACATTGTGCTGAATCAACATCACATACCTATTCACGACAACAGTCAACTTCACTAACCCATAGTCTTTCATCTGAACGTAGATGTAGCCTAGCTGAACCTGAACATAGTGACAATAGTATTATATGGGATTCACAGAAAGATAAAGATGGTAAGAACAATGAAGTCAAATATCATCCATCCTCTTCAGTGAATAAAAGGAATACATTTAGCCATATCGGTTGTAGTTGTTCAACTCAACAGATTGACAATACCAGTATGATTTACTTACAGTGTTTACCACATTTAGCTCGAGGATCTGTAACTTCATCATCTATCCATCAGAGTACATATGATATAACATCTAACAGTAGACCAAGTTTATCGTCAACTGCAATGTTTAATAATATTGAAGATGTACTTTTGTCTCCGCTGGCAAATAATTTTAGTCCTGGATGGCCTTATCCAAAATCAAATTGTCAATACTGTCCTGTATTGCTATCGCGTATCACTCGCCTGCATCGAAAGTTTAGGTAAGTAAATTTGACATAAGTAAATATTCTAGAAATCCATTACAGTTTCTTCTTGAAACTTGAATAAACTCATCAGTTTCTGATAAAAAGTATGTGTACTTAGAAGTGTTTGTCACAAGTCATCTAACTAGACAATTTGTTTGGCCTGTTGAATTCCTCTGATAGAGCAATTCCACGGGGACGACAGTCGAAAGCAGTTACCAAACATCCGCAGCTTAAGAAGACCAGCTTTCACTGGTGTAGGGCATGACTGCATGTGTTGTAAACCTGATCTTTGAAGGCCAAAATAACTTGTTTACATCTTTTTTTTTTTTAAAAAATAGGCACAGTGTTGACCCCATTTAAGCTTTTATTGGATACAGTCTGCCTTATGTCAAACAATATAGTTAGTCAAGTGTTGGTTTGTAGGGATTTGATTGGTTACAGGATTTTCATCATGAGCTGACATTAGTTAGAGAACCATTGGAAAACCAGTTGGGAGTACTGGACAGCTGTTTCGTCCTAGTTTGGGACTCTTCACAGTACGCACCCAGGATCTTCTGGTTTACAAGGCTAGCTCGTATATCATTAAGCCACTGGGACCCGATCCAATGGCCCATGAATTCTAACTTCTGCCAATTCACGACATAGCGCGACCCCTAGCCAATGTCTAGTGAGCCAATGAGAAGTCGTGACCAGTAGGGTGTGAGGACAAATACTCGCCCTGAATCAGGTATAACCAACATCTTTGCTTGGAATGTGATGCGATGTACATCGGACAAACATCGTGAGAAATCAAAATCAGAAGAAATGAACACCATAGGACATCTGTTCGACCACCGAGAAATCCAGTTGAACTAGAAAACTTGAAAAATCATCAGCCGTAGTTTTACACGCTATAGAATCAGGTCACAAAATTGGTTTTGACAATACTGAAATAACCCAGAAAAATTTCAGAAATCACAAAGAACGTCTAATATGAGAAGCACTTCATATCAAATGGAATCCAAATTATCTAAATAGGAATGATGGACTCAATCAGAATTTGACCTGGTTAGAACAATCCACTCCTCCACGAAATGACAAATGATAAGCAATTTCATAATGTAAACACATGTTGCTTTTATGATTTTATACACTTATCAAATCCAATAATCTGCACTTGGTTTTGTTATCTTTACCAATTGGCCAACTTGACAACGTAAAAATTACCCCATGCTGATGAACAATGTTTAAGTTCTTATATATAAGCTGAGATTTTGTAAATTCTGGTTTAATACTATTTTGATAAAGCTATTAACAGCTTTGGAAAGCGAAACATCAGTAAAAACAATATCGTTTTGTTTTCCATTGATTGGGAAATACAAAAACTTTTATAATGAATATTATATAACCAATGCCCAAATTTTTTCAAACTGTTAGAAGTGTAGTTGGTTTGGACATATACAGCATCTTCGAAGTTAACTGGATTTAAGTTGTCGAGTTCCTTGTGGTGTTTAAATATTTGGAGCTCCTTTAGGGTCCTCCGCTTCGTTAAATGGATCGATGTTTACCGGTAGTGGATCGTTGTGTTCTAAAACACTGAATACCGTCACTGAAAGCCAGTTAGGATTTTTCGAGGTTTCTTTACTCACTGTTTTACTCATCGTTACAGGTGGATAGTACAGCCATAATATTCATGACGTTATCAGAAAAGTTAGGTCGTGCGAAGACCTATGTTGATATTTGATTGTAGTGAACAGTAAATATTATATATATCGGATTGTTGAATTGAGTACCTGTTTTAATTAAGTTTTTTTTTATTTGGTTGTCGTCTGTCTTGTCTATAATGTACCTCCAAACACGACACTATAGCGAAACTGATCATTTGAAAATGCTCCTCCACAGTGAGGTAGATACAAAAATCAAATTTTACTGAGACAACCTCGACAACAACTACGTTCATTCTTTACAATACAGAATATTTATATATTGTTTTCACATCAACGGAAATTTAAATGATAAATAGATAATAAATATCTGATTGATTGCATGACCTCGAAGATCGAAAATCGTCCAATCAGGTTATTATGTTGGTGCATGCTTTCATCATAACTTCACGGCTAACAAAGATAGTTAGTCCGTCCTAACACCACTACCTCACAGGTTAGCCATAGTCTGACAGTTTCATTTAGTGGTAAATGGTTAGGATTTTCTCTGAAGGCACTGTGAAGAACATGGACCTTGTTGAGGGGTCTTTGTTGAATTCTAAGTTGACTGTTAAGCCTATTGATGGGATATCATTCTTTATGATACTGATGGCGAACTGAATAGTCTCACTGTAGTTTGCATACATCTGTGTTCTCTCCTTGTTTAAGTTTATCAAGGGTATGACTTGTATAATGTAGTTCTTTTAGGTATTAAGACTTACTGTAGGTTAGAAGTATCACTTTGTTCTCAGGGAAAAGTAATGTAACATAAGAGTATGGGACTGTTTTTTCTTCTCTTACTTGTACGTGTTTGTTGATTGTCATTTTTCTGTTCCTTTTATTCTTCACCTTATCTAGAGGTATGCTTCAAGAAGATGCTGAAAAGTCATTTTTAGAAAATGTGAAAAAATTGGCATTTTATGGCGTTGAATTACATCCTGTGAAGGTATTATTACTATATTACTTAATTCTATTAGTTCCATTTGCTTATTTTATTTATCCGCATTGTAAATTTATTTTGCTTATCCTGTTATTATGATGAAATAATCGACATCTGTTTGTACACCAGTTTCTAGCTAAAAAAGGCTTTTACTAATTGGGATAATCAAAATTTACAACAACAAGTAGGTAGAATATATATATATATATACTGATGAAGAGTCACAGACTAGGACGAAACAGCTGTTCAGTACTCCCAGGTTTCCCAATGGTTCTCTAACTGATATCAGCTCATTATGAAATCCTCCAGGCAATCACACTTAATAGTTTGAAAAAATCTGCGCATATGGTATATTATTATAATATTATTATTATTTCCTTGGGTTCGGAGTGGAACATAGAGATTCAGAAACACATCTCCACTTTGTTCTATTTTCTGCCATCCTCTTCAGTTGGGTCCACGATTGCCCATAATCTCTCATCTCCTCCTCACACGATCTCCTCCATGTCACCCTCGGACGACCCACTCGTCGCTTCCCATTCGGATTCTACTCGAGGGCCTGACGCGCGATGTCATTCGACAGCCTCCTCAACGTATGCCCTATCCATCTACATTTTCTCCTACATATTTGTTGAGCAATCGGTTCTTGGTTGGTTTGTTCCCAGCCAAAGTTTCTTGTTGCTAATTCTTTCTGGCCTGTCATTTGATCTCCAATACAGAGAGAAAGCAGCTGTTGATAAAAGTCTGTAACTTGTTGGAAATCCTTTTTCGTGGCATGCAGTGCAAGTTTCTGACCCGTATAGAAGCACTGGCTGACTTTACATTTGTGTTGAAAATCCGTATCTTGTTCTTTATGCTGGCTGAGTCAGTGTAGAAGATTTCCAAACTGCTTTCAGGTTGATGAAGGCGTATCTTGCCTTTCCGATTCTGGCCAGCTTTGACATCTTCATGCGTTCCGCCTGTAGTTGAAACGATGCTTTCCACATAAGTGAAGAAAGTAACCTCGCATTTGGTATATGATATTCATTATTATGAAAGTGTTTGTATTTGCCAATGAATGATAAACAAAACACTAACATTAAATATGGTCGAAAAAGTGTATTCCGAAGACATGAACCTCAACAGTTGTCATTCCACATAGATCGGATATGAATAACTGACTGACTGGTTCCAACGTAGAACTTTGCACAGATGTGCAGCAGTTCCAGTTGCCACACTCCATGCAGATATGTCAGACAATATCAGAAGAGTACTCAGTAGACACAACATCAGAATTTCCTTCAGTACGTCAGACACACTGAAAAAGCAGTTCTGTTAATCTGAAAGACTGAATATCAGAGGATTTACAATCGAACTGTGTCTTAAAATAAAAATGATTCGAATGCGATGCAATTTACATCGGACAGACCTCGCAAGAAATCAGCATCAAAAGAAATGAACACCTTAGAGCCTCTATTCGACCACCGAGAAATTCAGGGAAACTACAGAAGCTTAAAAAATCGTCAGCATAAGTCTACACGCTATAATGGAATCAGACAACAAAATAAATTTTGACAATACCGAAATTATACAGAAGAATGCCAAAAAGTCACAAAGAGCGCCTCATATCAGAAGCACTTCTATTAAATGGCTCTGCTGGACTGTAGAATAAAACGAAAATAAGATAGTGTGTTAGATACCAGCATTTATAGGAAACCGACACACTCTAATAAACACTTGGACTTTAATGCATCCCATCCAGAATCGGTAAAAATATGTCTATTTAAATGTCTATATAATTGGGCCAGGTGCTTAACTAGTAAATCAGAAAACTTAACTAGTGAAACTGAACTAACAAGGGAAATATTACTAGTGAATAATTACTCACCAGAATTTATTCAAAACTATATGAAGAACCATAGAAAAAAAATTAGATTAGTAATGGAAATGACAAATTTTTTTTTCCTCCACGTTCCCCAGTGGAACATAGGGCTTCAAGCTAGTGGCTTGAAGTTTCTGTAGCAGTGTCTATTTTACAGGATGGGGTTGCAAGCCTCATGCCCAACCTTTCCTCTTTACCAGCATTATTTCTGGATTAGCGAGGTAAAGGAGTGCGTCGACCGAGGATCGAACCCCGGACGAAGATAATAATAAGTGATGAATAAATCTGCTACAACTCCACCTTTAGGCTAAACACGCATGACAGAAACTTTTTAAGTCAGCTTAACACAGTAAAGTCAGATTTTTCACTTCGAAACCGTCTATCAACTGTTAATCACAGATGAGAACAAATCAAACCGAAAATATATCTCAGACAGATGAAAATAACATTCAAATGACATAGTAATAATAATAATAATCGTAGTAGAATAAGATGTGGACTGAGCGCTGCCCTGAGAAAAACATATCCAACCTCGAAGCCTGTATATGTTTATCAAAAGACTTGTTGTTTAAGACAGTCAGAAGTGGACAAACTCCCACCTTATGTTACCTCCAACTGCGTCTACCAATTTACATGTACGTACCAAAGCAATTACATTGGAAGAACAGAGAGAAGAGTTTTTGTCCGCATCGCTGAACACATACCAAAGAACTTGAGATTAAAGGACCCACAAGCAATAATCAGTGCGATTGCACGTCATCTACTAGACACTGACCATTTTGTGGACAACCTGAAGGCGTTTAAAATAGTCAACAGACAAAAGCCTGCTTCGTTTTGATGATGCAAGCGCCGTCAAACGGCTAAAACCAAATCTATTTACACAGAAAGAGACACTGGTGAATCCTGCACTGCCTTGGTGATAACAAAACGCAAAAATTCCACTATGTCATCTACTGTCCTGTTTAAAAACTTGAATTTTTCGTTTAAACATAACTCATCCTACCCATCTTCTTTGTCTATTTCATAAGAAGGTGTCTTCCTATGGTTACGTAACCCACTACTTTCTATACTCTTTCTAGTAAAAATTTATTTCTACCCACAAAACATCTGTTGAACTCTTTCATTTTGTTTCCAAGCTTAGTCATGCAATTCTTCTATAAACAGTCGATTCTTTCCACTCTTAGTTATTCAGCAACTTACATTATTCCTGACCAATGTTACTCTCAGTTCCAATTACCATTGTAAGAAATTATGTTCACATCTTTGATTATATTTATAATTTTGGTATTGTTCAGGTTGTAACCAGTTGACGAGAATCCACAAAATAATAAAAACATAAGGTCAGATTATCCTAGTAGATTTGTCGTTCTTGCTTTATTCAAATTTACTAATGAGAAGAATTGTATGAAGTTTTTAATAGACAATTCCGCTACCTGAGCTGGATGTGGTTTATTTGCGAAGTCAAATTAAAGTATGCGCTGAAGATGTTGCCCAGTAGGGCAATGAAAGCTTCGCGAATAAACCATCCAGCTCAGAGAACACAACTACATCAAAATCATCCATCTGAGCTACAAATCTTCTCTATCATATTTAAATTCCGCTACCACATAGTATTATGTTTTGTCATTACAACTATTTAGATAATGTCCTAATTTAGATGTTATTAACAAATCACATAAACTCTTATTACCGTGAACTGAAGAATCATACACTGGATATAACTGATTTTTATTAAAAGCAAGCAGCTGGTGACACAAGTCGTCTCTTCAGTCTGTATAAATATATTTCAGTGATAGTAAACACACAGACAAGCTACATAATGCAATAAATTTATTACTGAAAAACACTCGACCGAAGAAATAGTGGCAATTTAAGATTGTCCAATAAACGAGACTACCTCTCTGTTTTGAAAAATGCTGTTGCTGGAAATGACAAAAATAATATAGAATTCAAAGCCTCTGTAGTACTGCCTGCCGTATAAATAAGGAATGTGAGAGGCGTTACGTAGGATTCTCAATGAGACTGGAATTAGTCAGGGTGGCGTTTCAACCAACCACCTAACTCTCTTAGAGATCAACTTTGTCGGCTTAAGGACCCAATAGATCCAATTAAGGAAAATAATATAATTTACCAAGTACCCTGTAGTGACTGTGAGGTGAATTACATAGGTGTTGAACTAGTAGAGTGGAGGTCAATTAGATTATTGGAGCATAAAAATTTAGCTAGGCGTAGAATGATTGACCCTGGTGAGTTAGCCTGTTAAATAACGTGGAATAAAGCGTAGTCATTGCATTGCATTGCATTCACTTGCATGTAACCACACACAATAGGGTGGTACACGTGTATTTGAAATAGGAAATACAAAACTTTTATTATAGAGCCTATAAATATTCTTCAGTACTTTTCTTAGCATTCGGGTTTGTGTACTTTAATGTGAACAGGTAATGCTATTTGATAGTGTTAAGCATATTAGCATGTTCTACGAGAAGTATATTGTTTCTTTATATTCTGCATTTCAAGCAGTAGTAGGCAGTCGCCTTTTTCACTGTTTAACGTTCTTTTAATTGACTATAATGGCTTCTTTCAATAATATTATGATATTATAATGTAAAGAAGAGATAAATCAGAAATAATTTTTTTTTTTAGCGTCGTTGTACTTTTAACTAACGTTCTTACCTTCCATACTTTTCTTATCATATTCTTTCCGTGTTGATCTCAGTGTGATGGTAGCCGGTGATTTAATTTAATTGAAGCTGACCGTTCCAGTTCATTACCTTGTTAATTGTTAATTTATTATTAGAGCATGAAAGGTTGCTAACTGAAAAGCTTATCGTTGAATTGACTTTCCGTAGCTTCACTTCAAAGCTGTATAGTTATTTAGGGTGTTTATGTATGCCACATACATTGACAGCAGAGCTAAAAGGTTATTGTCATTTAGTAAAAAAAAAGCAAATCAAAGTGGATAAGTAATAACTATATTTGAAAAATTAGGAATAGTCTTACGTAGTCAAAACGCAAAACAGACGATCACAGTTTTGTTCCAATTTAGCAGAAAAAAGAGATCTCATCCCCTCTCTTGTGACGAGAATCTACCTTGATAGTTTCATAGTGGTAGTTTGTCAGCTGTCCATTCCAATTTGGTTTG